GAAGCGCAGGCAGACCCGACACCGGCGGAGGCAGAGAGAAGTAACCTGGCTAACTTGCTGCTGGGCATGATGAGAGGTATTATGTGGAATAATACACTGCTGCATTCACATCTGCGCACGGACGCGACGCAGCGACAAACATACAAGAACGATATGACTGCGTTAACAACTGCTATCTGCACAGAGGCAACGCAGCAGCAGCAACAGCATCATCTGTTGAATTCCACTATCACACGCGTCAACAGCATAGAGGCTAACACCTCAGCAGCGCCAGGCTGCACGACAGACGTGACGAAGCAACTCAACGAGCGCATCAATCACGTCGTCACCATCATCGGCGACATAAGTATTTTCAATGGACCAGACTCGATCAGCAGCACGGTGGCCGCCATCAAGACGGACATCACCAAGCTACAGACGAGACCGGAAGCTGCTACAAAGACGTTCAAGATGCCGCACTTCGACATCAGCAAGTTCGACGATTACAACAAGTCGGACGCCTTGTCATGGTGGCAACGCTTCCTCACGGAAGCATCATGCCGCATGGTCCCGGCGGAYGACATGTTGAAGGCACTATATYTGCAGCTGATTGGAGGAGCGCAGGGATGGATGAACCATCTAGCGGCTACACACAAGTGCACTATCGCCGAACTCCACACGCACATTACGTGGAAGGAGTTCGAGCAGCTATGGTTCACCAGATTCATGGTCCGCAACGTCGTGAAGATGGCCATGAACGAGGTCTACACATGCTCTCAAGGGAACATGCCAACGCGAGACAGGGCATCAAAATGGCAGAAGATAATGACCACGCCAGGCTTCGACTTGACGTTCCCTAATCAACGATCCGAGTTCTTCTCGAGATCGTGCGCAGGATTGCGGTCGGCACTCGGCAACGAGTACGACTATACTACGTTCCAGGCCATTATGGATCGAGCGAACTTGGTCATCCAAACGGACGACAAGGCCGCTAACGAGAGACAATCCCAGCCGCACTATGTGGCTAAGCAGGCCTATCAACGTCCGACACATAATAATGCCGTGATTTCTGAGGAAACCGACGACCACCACGCTGCAGCAGCATCCTCAAGTGATGGAGGAATTGTCGCAGCGCTCCCGCCGAAGCGTCCCAAGAGAGTTCGAAAGAACAAGGCGACACAAGAGACGGCAGCGACGGGAGCTGGGCAGCCATGGACGGCATATAAGATCACCAAGGAGGTCTATGACCTACGTCAGAAGTACCGATACTGCCTTTGGTGCAACGGAGTCACCCATGTGACCGCACAATGCCCCGAAAAGGGCAAGGCACGCGTACCCCGTCCAGCAAACTCGGGAAACTGAGTTACGCAAGGAGAGGGGTGATGTCTCTCCTCACCCCGCCGGACCCGGTTGCCTTGCTAGCAATTGATGTCACTACCGGGGAGCATGCGTTAGTCGCTGATTCTCGTGCTACGTATGAGGATTATGCCGCCCAGCTGGTACCACCATTAGACCAGCCTAGCCACGTGCATGTAGATTGCGTATGCGTAGCCTGTACACCGTCGGCAAGTGATCCGGTCAGTTCGCCACTGCTTTCCGAGGACTCGACGGCGTGGTCAAGACTTGAGGAGCTTGACCCGCTCACGAGAGAGGATTTCGCTTGGATACCTCTACCCTCAACCGGAACATTGCCAAAGCCGCATTGCAGCGCCTTGATGGCAAATCTACGCTCCTACTTGCACACTACAGTACCAGCTCCGTTGACGGACGACGGGGTAACGGTTGCCGATCTCCGCTCCTATCTTGCGAAGATCGACCGCGAGCACGCCACCCAAAGGTACGCYGAAACCGACGCACCTTTGCTCTATATCCGCATTCAAATCGGAAAGGCAACCTGTAGTGCCTTGATTGATTGCGGAGCGTCTCGCAACTTCATGAGTCAAGCCTTTATGGCCCGCGCAGGTCTTGGCCCGCGCGTTCGA